GCTCAGTGACAGGAAGAACTTGAATTTGGGTGGTAGCCAGCAATGACCGGGATGTGAGGCATGAGAGCTTCAAGTTTCCAAAAGGAACTCTGGTATAAAGTATTATGTTTGTTTTTGATGCTAGGGACAGATTGTCAGTGAACTTTAAGAAGCAAATACTTCTTAAAGTATTAATACAGGTAATAAAATTGTGGTGGGAGAAGCTAACATTTGTAGTTTCTATATACCAGGCACTTGACTGTTTCATTTAATCTTTAGAACCACCCAAGGAGGTAGACATTATTATATTAATATCAAGTTTTTTTAAATTGACAAATAAAAATTATACATATTTATTGTGCACAGCATGTTGTTTTGAAATATGTATGCATTGTGGAATGGTTCAATCAAGCTAATTAGCATATGCATTATCTCACATAATTATTTTTTTTTTGTGGTGAGAACACTTAAAATCTAAGAGAGTAGACTGTAAATACAATACATTGTTATTAGCTACCATGGTGTTCAATACATCTCTTAAAATTATTCATCCTATTTAACTGAAATTTTGTGTCCTTTGAGCATCATCTCCCCAGCCTGTCTCCATTGTCTACCCTTAACCCCTGGTAATCACCATTCTCCTCTCCACTTCTATGAGTTCAACTTTTTTCAGATTCCACATGTAAGTGAGATCATTCAATATTTGTCTCTCTGTGTCATCCATGCTGTCACAAATGACAGGATTTCCCTTTTTTTTTTTTAAGGCTGAATAATATCTATTCTGTAGATATGTCAAATTTTCTTTATCCATTCTTCTGTTGATGAACGCCTAGGTTGATTACATATCTTAGCTATAGTGAATAATGCTGCAGTAAACATGGGAGTGCAGATATCACTTTGACATACTGATTTCATTTATACCCAGTAGTGGGGTTGCTAGATCATATGTTAGTTCTGTTTTTAATTTGGGGGCACCTTCATATTGTTTTCAATAATGGCTGTACTAATTTACATTCCCACCAACAGTATGCAAATTATGCAAAAAAGAGTTCCCTTTTCTCCACATACTCATCAACACTTATCTTTCCTCTTTTTGAGAATAGCCATTCTGATAGATATAAGGTGATATCACATTGTGGTTTTAATTTGTATTTCTCTGTTGCTTAGTGGTGTTGAGCATTTTTTTCCTCATACTTGTTGGCTATTTGAATGTCTTATTTTGAGAAATGTCCATTGAGATCCTTTGACATTTACAAATAACTGAGTTATTTGTTTCCTTATTATTGAGTTATTTGAGTTCTTTATGTATTTTGGATATTAACTCAGTATCAGATGAATGGTGTGCAAACATTTTCTCCTGTTCTATAGATTGTCTCTTCACTCTGTTGATTGTTTCCTTGGCTGTGTAGAAGATTTTTAGTTTGATAGATTCCATTTGTCCATCTTTGCTTTTGTTACCTGTGATTTTGGGATCATATACAAAAAATCATTGCCCACACTACAGTCAAGAAGCTTTTCCTTATGATATATTCTAGCAGGTTTTCAATTTTAGGTCTTAATTTTAAGTTTTTAATTCACTTTGAGTTGATTTTTGAATATGGTGTGAGATAAGGATCTTACTTCATTTTTCTGCATGTGGACATCCAGATTTCCCTATGTAATTTATTGAAGAGACTGCCCTTTCTTCATTGGCATTTTTGTCCAAAATTAATTGACCAAAAATGTGTGGATTTTTTTCTTGGGCCCTCTATTGTTCTGTTGGTCTCTGTGTCTGTTTTTATGCCATTACCATGCTGCTTTCATTATTAGAGTTTTATAGTATATTTTGAAGTCAGATAGTTTGATGCCTCCAGGTTTATTCTTTTTGTTCAAGCTTGCTTTGGCTATTTGGGTCTTTTGTAGTTCCTTATGAATTTTAGGATTTTTTTCTATTTCTGTAAAAAATGTGAGAAATTTGGTGGGGGTTGCATTGAATCTGTAGATTGTTTTAACTAGTATGGACATTTTAACAATATTCATCCTTTCAATTCATGAACACAGGATATCTTTCCATTTATTCATGTTGTCTTTAATTTCTTTCATCAATATTTTAGTTTTCAGTATAAAGGTCTTTTACCTCCTTGTTTACATTTATTACTAAGTATTTTTTTTTTTGGTAGCTATTGTAAATGAGATTTCTTTTTTGGATAGTGTGTTATTTAAATTTTACAGATGAAGAAAATGAATTTTAGAGAGATGATGTGGCTAGTCTGGGTCATTTATTTCGTTAGCTATTAGAGTTGAGATTTAAACCCAGGCAGTACGAATTGAAACCATCTCTAATCATCACTGTATTGCTTCCAGGTTTTGAAGGAGGCAGCTTAATTACTTCCTAGAATCTGACCTGAATGTGGAACCATCATTAACTTGTCATTGGATTCAGGTGGTTTCACTGAACACACAAACTTCAAATCAGGAATTATGAATGGCAGCTGTAGACATAATTTTTAGCATTTAATTTATTTTTCTTTTTAGTTTTTGGTGCACAGTATCATGAAAAGTCTAATATAGTATGTGTATGTAAAACAGTCTGAAATAGTGTTTGTGTAACAATCTGAAAACCCATCTACTGGAAATTTATGTAATAAGATTATTGTTTTCTCTTTGTTGATATATAGACCATTTTCAGACCTCTAAACTCCTCTACCATCCTTCCTCTGGTAAAAACTGGCACTGGAACCTACTAAACTGGCACCTAAAAGTTGAAATTTACTGACTACCTTAGTTAATAGGTAATTACTTTTGTAACCAGACTGACATGGAATGTCCTTGAATCAGCAGAAAACAGTCCTCCTCCTCCTCCCCAGCTATCTACTTTCTGTATATTGCTATAAACACCATCCATGTAGTAAGTTCCTGCATTGTAAGTGTTCCCCAAAACAGTTGATTTTATAATTTGTAAAGGCTTACGGGGACCTGTTGTGAAATTTTACCTAGAGGCTTAACTTCTTCATTTACAGTTTCCTAGAGTAGTTTCTCTGAACCCTTAATGTCCATAGATTTCGATTAGCTTGAGGCACCAAATTAAAAAAAAACACACCAAAAACGTATTCTTTTACTCTTCTTTACAGGAAGAGAATTGGGAGAATAAAAAGTCAAGGTTTTTGCTTCTCCCTTTGTCAAAAAGAGTAAAGTAACCACAACAATAAAATAGCTAACCTATATCGAGCATGGGTTTACTATGTGCCAGGCATTACCCAGTGCTGATGTTGCTGAATTCTCAGAACATAGTGTAATAATTATTCCTAACATTATTTTACAAATGAGTGATGGGTTTCAAAGCATTTAAGTAACTTGGACAGGTCAACGATGGAGATGGAGTTTAAACGCACGAGATGTGCCAGAAAGGTACTCTAGCGTAGTTTGAGGCCAGCGTATCATTGAAAGCTGGGTGGAAAAATACTGGTGATGTTTACGTTCTTGTTTTTCAACATTAAAAAAAAAAAAGAAATCCCTCTTCTATAGAGTATAGAATGTGTTCATGCACACAAGTCTTTCCCGTGCTATGGGGATGAGCACAGATTCCTAAGAAGGATGATCACCATTGAGATTCTTTGCTCCACTTTACAGTCCCGGCCATTGGTCAAGGAGAGTGAGTGTCTCAGACGGGCCTGAGCATGGCTGCCTCTGCTGAACACTGGAGAAAAAGGGGGTGTGAGGCCCCGCCACCGTCTCCAACAAGTGGTGCTGTTAGGGGCTGCCAGGCCTGGCAAGGGCTTCAACTGCCGCTGCCTTCCTGCCCCAGGTCCTCGGTTGGCAGGCCTCTGTTGGCTGTGCCTCTGGGCCTGTAGCAGCTGGGAGGAATAAAGGGCTTCCTGTTGGAGCCTGGCTCTGCCACATAGAAAAGGTCTTCTTCAGTCTGGAGTTTCTTTATTCTCCATGTGTTCAGTTGCCTGACCCTGCCTATCTTGACCTCTGACTTCTGTGTCATATTTATCGTCTCTCAGCAAGACTTAGGCTGAAAGGGGCCTTAAGCATTGTCCGCTTCTGCCTCCCACCTTCTCCCCATTTCGTAGTTGAGGAAGCTGACTCACACACATGAAATGAATTATCCAGAGCTGGGGGACCAGCGGCCAGGTCTAGCAGCCTAAGTCATGACTCTAGTCTAGTGATTTTTTTTTTCCTATTATGGAATGATTTATTCCTTCTATGTCTTACTTCCAGTCTCTTTTACTTGCTCATCCTGATCCTGGCGTGCAGCCTGGCTTCTTGATCTGTTGGCTTTGCATCCTGCACTGATTGAGGGAACAGTTGTTGCTGGTATTAATCCCAGCTTAGACTTACCGTGTGACCCTTGTTCAAGTCACTTTGTGCCTTAATATAATTATCAGCAGATTAAGTAGGACCCTTATCAAGGAGTTCCCATTCTTGGGAAAATATAACTCATAGAAACTGGTGACCTGTTTTATTATTGTTCAATGGAAGACACTTTTAGAAAACAAAGTATGGAGGAAAAATCAGTTGATAAAGGTTTCATGTTGAGTAAGCTGAGCAAGGACTCATGAGAATTAGGGGCTTTTCAGCCAAATTGTTATATAATAGAGTTAACAAGAGAGAGTACTATTTCTTTCTTTGTTCTTTACACAGAATACCTGCTGGATCAAATTCTGCTCTGTAGGCAGTAGTATAGACTGATTATAGCTTTTACTTCTGATCAACTAGGAAAAATATTTGCTTAAGTTGTTTAGCAGAGCCGATGAGCAAAGAAGAATATAGAATTTTCAATGCTATGAAGCCTTGGTATAATAAAAATAGATACTTTTATATAGGACGCAAATGAATAAAATCTGACTTTTAAAACCTGTTGTTAACTTCTTTGAAACTCAGTTTTCTTATATGTAAAGTGGGGAGATTTATTTAACTTATAAATGAGAATTATGAGGATTAAAATAGCACTTATAAAGTGCTTCGCACATAGTAGGTTCTTAATCTAAGTTAGCTTCCTTCCTTCCTAAGTGTCTAACACTTTCTGTTATATTTAGATATCTGATATCCATGTTACTGGAGAGTCAGAGGATATGTCTGCAAAGGAGAGATTGCTACTGTGGACACAGCAGGCAACAGAGGGTTATGCTGGAATTCGATGTGAAAATTTCACTACCTGCTGGAGAGATGGAAAACTATTTAATGCCATCATTCACAAATACAGGTATGGAATTGTGGAGTTTTTTCCTTATACAAATATGAAACATGTTTCTTTCATTTCTAAATTTTAAAATAACCTTTTATTATTATAGAAGCAATATATATATATATATACACACACACATATACATTGCAGAAAATTAGAAAATACAGACAAATTAAAATAAAAACATCACAGTCCCACTGCTCAGAGGTCATCACTTTATATTTTAGTGCACACACACACACACACACACACGAACACACATAAACATAGCTGTAATATATCTTTGGATTTTTGTCAGTAACTTAGCAGATAGTAGACTTTGATCTGTAGAATCTGCAGGTAGATGACCAAGATTGTGTCTATAGGGGACTTTTGAGTAGGAAGGTAAAGATTTAGTTCAGATTTACAGTTCACAAGTTTCCAAATCATATCTCCTAGTCTCGAACTCTAGTGAGTAGTTGGGCTTAACAATGGCCAATTTGGAGGTGGTAAAGAGTTTCCTGGTGAGAATTATTAACACTTAAATTCATGTTAACACGTCACTAGCACTTACTAAGTGCCAGGCACTGTTCTAATCAGTTTACACATATTAATTCATTTAATCTTCACAATGTCTCTATTGTCATCCTCAGTTGACAGGCAGAAACTGAGCCAATACTGAGTAAACTCTTGCTTTAAGTGATGCAACCAGCAAGTGGCAGACTTGGGATTCAAATATGCAGTCTAGTTCTTGAGTCCATGTTCTTGTTGCCTTGTAAGAAGCTAAAGCCCTGGAAAGTATTCATTGAAAACTATGTACTTCTTGTTCTCAGTTTTCTTCGTTTTATAAAGATTGTGTTGTATTGTTGAAGAACTGAATATATTCCTAAATAGAATAAGCCTAAACTATAGACTTGTTAAATTACCAAACTTACTTGATTGTAATAGCAATAATTATCTAGAATAGTTAATGGTTTGATAATTTTCTACATGTGAGGCATTCTGTTAAGTGCTTAACACACATATATATGTATTATCTACTTCAAATCTAACAAGCCCATAAAACAGAACTGTTATTATCTCAATTTTGCAGATGAGGAGCCTTAGGATTACCAAGGTCACACTGCTAATAAGTTACAGAGCTAAGGATCAAACCCTGCTCTGTGTGGCTTCACATCTCCCCTCCCCCTCTCCTTTCCTTTATTCCTTTCTTTCATTCCTCTTGTCTCTCTTCTTTTCTGTCTCTTTTTTTATTTTGGAAATTTCAACATCTACAAAATTGTAATGAATCCCCCGCGTATCCACACCCAATAGCCCTATTTTTATACTCTGTAATAGTCTCTCCTTCCTTTATGGAACATTTAAATAGAGGTGGGTGTAGGTTGCTGAATTTAAAAGAAAAACTAAGATCAACTTGCCTACTCTTGTTTAAAGGAAAGTACCGGATCTTCTTGAGTAACAATGCCAAGAAGGTTTAATGGTTACAGACATGGCCAGCGTCACACTGCACTTCCCAGGTGACTTGAAATATGAGGCCATAGGAAGGCTGTGTAGCTGGACACGTCTGTACTTGAGATAATAGCATCTTTGTGGCCTTTGAATTAAAATATTTCGATTGTGATACCTAAAGGATTTATGTCACGATGCATCTTTGAGAGTGTGCTCCGTTCTTTTCTTTGAAGTTTTTTAGGCAGAAGTAACACGTTTAGAAGGCAGCTAGCTGGCTATTCTTCTGAAATAATCTACTTTTAAAAACAATAGTCTTTGAATATTGTCTCTTTGATACTCATGAAGGGTTATAAGTACAAATGGTGTATATATGCTGTGCATTTTTCTTTTAAGTACTTAAACAATTCATTGTGTGTCAAAGATCCTAAAATTTCCAAGGAGAGTTTGATGTTATCTAGTTCTTACTGCTTTAGGTGAGAATTTGAAATTTATGAATGTTATTTGTTTGGAACTTTTCTTTTGGCAGAGATCTTTTTAGAAAACCATTTAGCTTTAACTTTGAACTTTGGTTTTCCTAGTTTGCTTTGTTTTTCCTTTTTTAGAATTCAGAGTAAAAATACCATTTATCAGGTTTAAATGCTTACAAGATTTCTTTGTTGCCGAAGTTCTGTTAAGTTATTCTGTGCCTCATAAAATATTACTGTGGTTTCTTTCACTAGAAGAAAACTTTCATCTGTAAAACTGTATTTTTAATTAAAGTTCTTAGGCCTTTCTTTATTTAAAAATACAATTGAGTACTTTTCTGCCTCTGGCATGTGTAAGAATTAAATGAAGAGGGTTGAACTGCAGGGTGTTTCTTACTGGTGGGTGCCTTGATTTGCTCTAAAGATGAAAGAGACAAAGTTATAAACAATTGAATTATCACCATGAGCATATTTTTGGGTATTGGGCAGTAATAATCACATTTAGAGAGCAGTGTCTTATTTAACAGTTGTTTTTACTTCATTATTCTTCCCATAAATTTTATGATATATTTGGATTTGCTGTGGAAACATATCCATTTAACTGAGATTTATTTTTGTATTTATTTAGATAAAAAGTGTTATTATTTATATATGGATTTTATTTGGCTTCTGTAGTAAAAATTATCTGAGGTGGCGTAGTGACTTTGGTTTTTACTCATATACAAACTCTGGTCATATGAAATACTTTGTCGAGAAGGCTTCTAAGAGGAAGTGAGGGCTTAACAGGCTAGAACCTCAAGATTACTGTAGTGGATAGAAAGAGGGTTGTGGGCACCCTTATGCAGCAGGTTTATACACACTATGGAATAGGAAATATTTCTCTGGAAATCAGAAGGAAAATATATAACATTTTTCATTTAAAAGTAAGCCAGTATTATTTGTAACAAGCGATTTAGTAAGATTTTCTTATGCATAATATTTTCTAAAGATTTATAAATATTGATCTGAAACAGGAACAGCATCCTTCATATTTTCTATTAATGTAAATTGTATTGTTAAAATTTATTAACCAAGTATACCAATTTGGATTGTCTGGCACAGTGGTCCTCAAGCCCTGGGGCCATGGATTGGGCCATAGAGCTCCGCCTCCCCTCCCCCCTACTCACCCCGTCCCACGTCCATGGAAAAAGTGTCTTCCATGAAACTTTGGAACTGTGGCTGCACACCAGGATGTTAGCCATGGGCAGGCCAGCGAAGCTTTATCTGTATTTACAGCTGCTCCCCATCACTCATATTACCCCCTGAGCTCTGCCTCTCTCCCCCTACCCCCATGAAACCAGTCACTGGTGCCAAAAAGGTTGGGGACCACTGGAGCACATTTTTATTAATGTTCCCACATAGACTATGACTTTTTAAAATAAAAAGAATGTTAATCCCAGTAAGTAGTATTTTTTTTTTTTTACTAAAAATTCTGTATCCTAAGATTTTCCATAGAAAACTTAATTTTCTAATTTTCATGTTGCTTAAAAGAGCTATTATATGAAATAAAAATGAAGAGATATTTATACAATAAGGGTAATTTATAGATATTGTGGAATAAAAGTGATCCATGAAGGTAAAAGAAAGTAACTGTCACAAAATAGGTACCCAAGAAATATATGTAGAATGTTGATCATGTAGCAGTTTCTGCCATAGCTGTTTTCTAATGTGTGTTAGCTTTTAAAATTACCACAATCCTGTGAAATAGATTGTGACTTCCATTTTTATCAACAAAGAAACTGAGGCTCACAGGGTAACTCGTATGTTTGACATCACACACTTTCAAAATAATAGAGGTCAATGTTCTGGATTCTCATCTTCACATGCTTTTTTTTTTTCTTGAGACGGAGTCTCACTCTGTTGCCTGGGCTAAAGTGCCGTGGCATCAGCCTAGCTCACAGCAACCTCAAACTCCTGAGCTCAAGCCATCCTCCTACCTCAGCCTCCTGAGTAGCTGGGACTATAGGCATGTGCCACCATGCCCGGCTAATTTTTTCTATTTTTAGTTGTTTGGCTAATTTCTTTCTATTTATAGTAGAGATGGGGTCTCGTTCTTGCTCAGGCTGGTCTTGAACTTCTGAGCTCAAGCAATCCTCCCACCTCAGCCTCCCAGAGTGCTAGGATTACAGGTGTGAGCCACCCTCTCTGGTCTTCATATAGTCTTATATGAATTTCCTTTAGGCAACTCTTACATAATTTCCTTTATGCAAAAGCTAGATTTCAGAAATGGGCCTGTTGACTAAAACAGTTTTGATAGTGCAATCTTGAAAACTAATGATATTCAGCAAAGAGACATGAGAGCAATTTCAGAAATGGCTAAATGAATAGTACCATATATAACTGCCAGCTAAAGTCTTTGCCCCTTGGAAGAAATTAATTAGGGACAAAATTAGTTGTTTAACTTAGAGTTAGCTATCTATGAAAATAGCAGCAGCTCATAAGAAAGTAAAGAAAATTGTAGATAAAAGAACGTTAAGTCACTTAGAATGAGTAAGAACAAAATCTCAGATGAACTGTTCTGTGGTTTTAGAATGTCATATTATTCTAAAGAGGATGAAAAGCCTGGATTATGTCATGGGTAATAAGAATGACAAAGTAATATGATTTAGTGGTGAAGATTACAAGGGATAGTTCTACAGCTTCTGTTTAAATAGGTCATTGTTAAATACATTATGTTTTTCCATTAAATCTGTGTTAGAAAAATTCTCTTCCTAATTCCTTCTAGGAACTTCTATTTGTTATGCTCAGTCTTCAGTAGAAAGAGTTCAAATAAACATACCGCATATCTGTGCTTGTTTCTGCTTGTTTTGTTTGTATAGTTTAAGTTTTCTTTAAAGCATCATAAAATCTTTTTACTGAAAACCACAACTGGTAAGGGGTCTTAGCTAAATAAGCCTCACTGTTTCCCCTAACCTAACCTTAATTTTCATTGAAAAGAATAACAGAGATTACTGGATTTGATGGACTTAGATCAAAAGGATGTCACAGAAACATTTGATGAGTAAGTAGCTCAAAAGCAAGAGGGGATGAAGTAGAATTAACTGAGAGCCAATAGGCAAGGGAGCCCAGCAGTAGCTTCTATACACT